AAATGTGCCCCTAATGCTCTCTTTTGTAAGGTTGGCATGATGGCTTTGGAAATATGTGAAAAAAAATACAAATATTTCATAGGTGATGCTGGAAAATCATTGACATTGCCCTCCATTATGATTACTATTCATACACCATCCACAACGTGTAGTGACAGTATTTATAATTTGGTATACTTTCTTGTTGATATTGCTATCAGAGATAAAGCTGATTTTCTATCCTTCAACAAAATGGTCTGTTTATTTACTTTTACTTTTCTAGATAGCAAGAAGTGAATTGGAATCACCCGGCCATTGTGACTTTCAATTGTTTTTTGTTGTTTTTTTTTTTTTTCTAAAATGCCCACCTTTTATTGGAAGATAAAATCAATGTGACATTTTCAGCACGGCGATGAATGGCAATCTTTACTTTTCTTTAAATGCATTGAACCTGCTTGGTAAAATACGCTCAGCTAATTCTGAACAATGTTTTTAATAAACTGAAAAAACTGTGAGGGTATTGAACCTTAGGTTTTGCTTAGCTCTGACTCGAGGTAAACTTCAATCCACAGATAAAGACATTGCTGAAATTCTTACATCAATATCATTTTCTACACCATTCCTGCTCTGTTCTAGCAGTTAAAACATATATACCGTATAATGTTTTTTGGTTTTGTAAGTTTTGGAGTGGAGATGGATTAAAACACGTCTTTAAGTTTTGCTGTCTGGGTCTCGTGGGAGAGATTTCCCCTCATTTCGAATCCTGGAGACACAACAGGAAAGGAGAGGAAATCCCCCAAATGGAAAACAAATTCTCATCCAATATGAGTCCAAGAGAGTTGTCCCCAAGACAGGTGTCCCCCAATATGTTCCCTAACTCTTGTTAAAGTGACACAATTAAATGTTGGATTTCCATTACATGCAATTTACTAAATTCTTATTATTATTAAGTGTTCTTGCAAGAACACTTATTGTTATCTCACAAATATATTCTTATTCTTATTTTATTCTTATTTTTATTCTTATTATAGCCAAATTTGCACTCCTCCCACCACAGTTTTTACACTACATAGACAGTAATATACCGAAAACGTGCGGATTGTTCCCAATTGAATTGCTATTAATTTGTGGAACGTTTCCGCCGAATGTTTCAAGAAATATCGCCGTTTTTGTAGTGAAATTTTCCCATAGGAATGAATGGAGCAACTTCAGTGGGAGCTGACAAAGCTAGAGTGTGAGCTGAAAAATCAGGACATGATTTCTAAACTGCCATCACTCCCTCATTTTCAAAGCCCACCTACACAAATCTTATATCAAAACGTTCATCTATCCCGGCTGCCGCTAAAAAAAACGTCCACGGCTAAGCCATAGTCCTGATAGTTTTCACAATATCACCTTTTGTTTTTCAACTCACGCCACCCATTGACTTCATTGAAACTTTACTCGCAGCCACCTGAAATTTGAAGGGTAATTTCTAAACTGCGACTGTGCCTTCATTTGTATTATTTCAGAGACATAAAAATGCATCACAAATGTAGGTCTGGGTCTTGTGATTCTCACAATATAAAGCTCTTCAGTGTAGGATTTATAATTTTTAAACTACAACAGTTTGAAAATGGCAACCGCCAGTGAAGTGAGCAAGTTGGAGCAGTTTGTTTTTAACCAATCTTCTCTGCCCTTGCTGTAGAGTGAGTTGCCATAGGAACCCCAGGTGTGTGAGCAGGCAGCAGAGTGACAAAAGCTAGAGTTTGTGAGTGAAAAAATTAGGAGATCATGCATTTTCTCACTCTAATCAAGCTTGCCATGTGCACTTTTTAAATTTGATCAATCAATTGGTTAGTGTAATGTTTACTATCTTTACTCCAAACACTCCACTCAGTTACTCTGCCCACTCCATGAAGTTACTCTGCCCCAGTCATAGTCCCAACCTTTTCACAGTTACTCCAGCCACTCCAATCACACAATAGTTACTCCGCCCACTCCACCCCAGTTTACTCGCCCACTCCAGTTGTAGACTAATGGTGCAGGCAAGAACACTTCACACAATTTCCAGAAATTGTAGATTTTCTAGTTCTTATTCTTATTAAGTGTTCTTGCAAGAACTTGCATCAAAATGTAGGTCTGGGTCTTGTGAGTCTCACTGTAGGATTTATACTTTTTAAACTACAACCGCTTGAAGATGGACAACCGCCAGTGAAGTGAGCAAGTTGGAGCAGTTTGTTTTTAAATGCTTCTCTCCCCTTACTGTAGATTGAGTTGCCATAGCAACCCAGGTGTGTCAGCAGCCAGCAGAGTGACAAAAGCTAGAGTGTGAGCTGAAAAAATAAAAGTTGAAATGCATTTCTCACTCTATCAAGCTTTGCCATGTGCAATTTTTACATTTGATCAATCAAACTGGTTAGTGTTGGAGGCAAGAACACTTCACACAATTTCCCCAGAAATTGTAGCTTTTCTAGTTTAGTATTGTCTCCAAATTTAATATGGTTTCTGTGGCTTCATTCCACATCTGTCAGAATTTTACCCAGTAAATACAAATGTAAGTCCTCATGCACACTGGACGTTTTCAGAACGCTGGTAACGTTAACGGTGTAAAGTCACGTTAAAAATGTGTCATTATTTTTTCAGCTTTTTTAAGCATTTTGGCATTAGCATTTAGCGGAGTTTTGCCACATTTGCATTTTTTTAAAGAAAAAAATTTTTTTTTGGGGTCGATCAAAAAAAGTCCAAAAACGCCAGCTTGCTGCAGTTTACCGCGTTTTACAGCGTTCTGCCACATTTTTCAGCATTAGTGCATTTTTACAGCTAAAAAACTTTTCTAGAAACCACTAGTCCTGGGTTTTTTTTCCAGCCAAAACAAAACGTTGATTACAGTCTATGTGTGTAATGGACACATAGGAGAATATGCTGGGGATGGACACATAGGAGAACATGCCCGGGGATGGACACATAGGAGAATATGCTGGGGATGGACACATAGGAGAACATGCCGGGGATGGACACGTAGGAGAACATGCCGGGGGGATGGACACATAGGAGAACATGCCGGGGATGGACACATAGGAGAACATGCCGGGGATGGACACGTAGGAGAACATGCCGGGGATGGACACATAGGAGAACATGCCGGGGATGGACACGTAGGAGAACATGCCGGGGATGGACACGTAGGAGAACATGCGGGGATGGACACATAGGATAACATGCCGGGGATGGACACATAGGATAACATGCCGGGGATGGACACATAGGAGAACATGCGGGGATGGACACATAGGAGAACATGCCGGGGATGGACACATAGGATAACATGCCGGGGATGGACACTTAGGAGAACATTGCCGGGGATGGACACATAGGATAACATGCCGGGGATGGACACATAGTGAGAACATGCCGGGGATGGACACATAGGATAACATGCCGGGGATGGACACATAGGAGAACATGCCGGGGATGGACACATAGGAGAACATGCCGGGGATGGACAACATAGGAGAACATGCCGGGGATGGACACATAGGAAGAACATGCCGGGGATGGACACATAGGATAACATGCCGGGGATGGACACATAGGATAACATGCCGGGGATGGACACATAGGAGAACATGCTGGGGGGTTTACTGGCTGTAGAAAAAATGTCAAATGCCAAAAACAGCCGCTGTAAAAACATCAAATGTGCATGAGGACTAAAGCTGAACTCCAAGTACCAAAACCTCATTTAAAATATATTCCTAGCCATACAAGATGTAAATCTACATTGAGTGCACCAAATGCCTTTGCACACCAAGATTCAAATAAAAATTGCATGGCTCCTGTGGACAATGGGGCTATTTACTAAAACTGGAGAGTGCAAAATGTGTTGCAGCTCTGCATAGTAACCAATCAGCTTCAAGGTTTTAGGGTTCATGTACACTGCAGCTGATAAACTCACGTTTAGGAACTTTTCTGCATTTTTTTTCAGCAGCCCCTGAACTCTCCCTAATGTTTCCCTATGTGTCCATGTACATTATGTTGTTTACAGTCGTTTACAGGCAGTTGACTTTACAGTTGTTTTTTTTTTAATGCACCAAACTTGCGTTCAGGAGTAGCTTTTTAACAGCTTTTTTTTAAATGCCAAATGCTTGTAAACGTGTGTAAATGTGTTTAACCGCGTTTATAAGCGTTTGCGTTTAGAAGCGTTTTTTTAACTGTTCCATACCCAAATGCTGTCCAAAGCCTTTTTTCATCATCAGAAATGCATGCAAAGCATTTTCCATGTATTCAAATAGACTCGGTACACCAGCGCAGTCAGTTCCAGGTTTTGCGTGAAGGAAAAAAATGGTAGAACGTGCCGCATTATTCTCATGATGGGATCCATAGTGAAGACAACCAGAAAAGACAAGTCATCTCAACACTTACTACCCTCTCTTGCTTCTGCTCTCTCTATCTCAAAATGTCTGAAATAGTTAATTTTTAACTGTCTTTCAGTGCATTCTGGGCATTTTGGAAGGTCTCCTGAGGTTATCTTAAAAAAAAACGCTTCTAAATGCAAATGCGCATAAACACGGTATGCAAACGAAGCTAACAGACGTTTTTTAACCTACGTTTTCCAGCAGTTAGTTTCCATCGTTCAGAAGTGTTTTCCAAACGTCCCGCGTGCAGGGGCCTTATTGTCAAAGCTTAACTGAACAAGCTGAAGTTAGAAGCTGATTGGCCGCCATGCACAGCTGCACCAGATTGTAAGTGCTCCAGTTTTAGTAAATCTAAATGTCTGCTTATCCCAAAGTTCAACCCATTAAGCAGGAATTTCCCAAAATTCAAACTGTGAATGACCAGCATAACGGTTAGAATTTGGAAAAATCCAAACCCATATTAACCACCTCCGCCCGCCATATAGTAATATAGTCATATGACGTCCTCCCATTCTCACTGCGCATGCGCGGCTCAGGGAGCGTGCAGCGCGGCGATCGGCGGTGCGCTGTGTCCTTCCTTCGGACACAGCGGATCACCGATCACAGAAAGAGCTGAAGGTGTCGGCTCGGTCATGTGATCAGCTGTGTCCAATCACAGCTGATCACATGTAAACAAGGAAATGACGGTTATCTGCATTTTCTCTCCTCACGAACGGTCACGCTGACAGAGGAGAGGAGAGCCGGTAATCGGCTTTCCGCGGAGGGGACATGTACACTGATCATCGGGGCACTGATGATCATGTGCCCTGATGATCAGTGTATCCCCAGCACTGCCACCTGTCAGTGTCCATCAGTGCCTTATGTCAGTGCTCATCAGTGCCTCGTGCCAGTGCCCATCAGTGCCACATCAGTGCCACATCAATGACACATATCAGTGCCCATCTGAGCTGCCTTTCAGTGTCACCCATCAGTGCCAGTCAGTGCAACCTATCAATGCCAATCAGTGCCACCTATCAGTGCTGCCAATCAGTGCCACCTATCAGTGCCAGTCAGTGCTGCCTATCAGTGCCAGTCAGTGCCGCCAGTCAGTGCCAGTCAGTGCCACCTAACAGTGCCAGTCAGTGCCACCTAGCAGTTCCAGTCAGTGCCGCCTATCAGTGCTGCCTATCAGTGCCATGTATCAGTGCCATGTATCAGTGCTGCCTTTCAGCGCCCATCAGTGATGCCTGTCAATGCCCATCAGTGCCACCTACCAGTGCCTCCTCATCAGTGCCCATCAGTGCCACCTATCAGTGTCGATCAGTGCAGTTTATCAGTGCCCATCAGTGCAGCCTCATTAGCGCACATCAGTGAAGAAGAAAAATCACTTATTTACAAAATTTTGTAACAAAAACTAAGAAAAAAACATTTTTTTTTTCAAAATTTTCTGTGGTTTTTGGTTTGTTTAAGAATAAATAAAAAAACCAGAGGTGATTAAATACCACAAAAATAAAGCTCTATTTGTCACAAAAAAATGGTAACAATTTCATATGGGTACAGTGTTGCATGACCGCGCAATTGTCATTCAAAGTGCGACAGTGCTGAAAGCTGGAAATTGGCCTGGGCAGGAAGGGGGTATAAGTGCCCGTAGGCAGGAAGGGGGTAGAAGTGCCCTGTAGGCAGGAAGGGGGTAGAAGTGCCCTGTAGGCAGGAAGGGGGTAGAAGTGCCCGGTAGGCAGGAAGGGGGTAGAAGTGCTTGGTAGGCAGGGAGGGGGTATAAGTGCCCGATAGGCAGGGAGGGGGTATAAGTGCCCTGTGGGCAGGAAGGGGGTATAAGTGCCCTGTGGGCAGGAAGGGGGTAGAAGTGCCCTGTGGGCAGGAAGGGGGTATAGGTGCCCTGTAGGCAGGAAGGGGGTAGAAGTGCCCTGTAGGCAGGAAGGGGGTAGAAGTGCCCTGTGGGCAGGAAGGGGGTATAGGTGCCCTGTAGGTAGGAAGGGGGTAGAAGTGTCCGGTAGGCAGGAAGGGGGTAGAAGTGCCCGGTAGGCAGGAAGGGGTAGAAGTGCCCGGTAGGCAGGAAGGGGGTAGAAGTGCCCGGTAGGCAGGGAGGGGTATAAGTGCCCGATAGGCAGGAAGGGTGTAGAAGTGCCCTGTAGGCAGGAAGTGGGTAGAAGTGCCCCCTGTAGGCAGGAAGGGGGTAGAAGTGCCCTGTAGGCAGGAAGAGGGTAGAAGTGCCCTGTAGGCAGGAAGGGGGTAGAAGTGCCCTGTAGGCAGGAAGGGGGTAGAAGTGCCCAGTAGGCAGGAAGGGGGTAGAAGTGTCCTGTAGGCAGGAAGGGGTAGAAGTGCCCGGTAGGCAGGAAGGGGGTAGAAGTGCCCGGTAGGCAGGAAGGGGGTAGAAGTGCCCGGTAGGCAGGAAGGGGGTATAAGTGTCCTGTAGGCAGGAAGGGGGTTAGAAGTGCCCTGTGGGCAGGAAGGGGGTAGAAGTGCCCGGTAGGCAGGAAGGGGGTAGAAGTGCCCTGTAGGCAGGAAGGGGGTAGAAGTGCCCTGTAGGCTGGTGGTTAATAACACAACATTACCACCTTGAGGTTTCTTGAATTTCGATTCTATACTTGTATATATGGAGAGGCTGCACCAGCTACTTTCTGAGATGACAGCAGACACTTAAATTGCCACGTAACAAAGTGCTGGGAGGATTACATGAAGGAAAAATGAAGGCTTTGTTAAAGCAGAATACCCCCCCCCCCCACCCTTTATAGTTAAGAAGGCTGTCATTTTAGAGGCAGTTGCCGTGGTCCTGCTCCTGTGTCCAGCTATGGCATGAAAATTCAGTTGAGCGCTCTCATAAGCACACTGGTGACAGTTATCAGCAGAGGTATGATTTGAATGTTACTGGCTGAACCTGCTCATTTGCATATCTTTGCAAAGGATTCTGGGAAATTGGTTTTGCCACCTCAGGGTTGATCAAATCTGAATTATTTGTGTTTTTAGATGGTTTATAGAGCCAGAAAGATTTGGAAGTGAACATACAAGCCAAAAAGAAAGATTTTAATGTTAAATTCAAATTTGATTCTCCATATTTTGGTAGTTCGGGCGGTTTAAAAAGAGTCGAGGTTACTTAGCTGTTGGAGAGGTTGGGAAAGCTCAGTGTCACCAGGTGTGGCTCTCTCTGGGGCCAATTCAGTGACACTGAGGTGAGGATTTCTCTGAGGGAAGTTCATTGATACTGATGTGAGGATCTCTCTGGGGGAAGCTCAGTAATTACTGACAGGAGTGATACCAACATGAGGATCTCTCTGGGGAGTTCAGCAATACTGACAATGAGGATCTCTTCTAATGACGTTCAATGATACTGACATGAGGATCTCACTGGAGAAGTTCAGTGACACTGAGGCAATAGAAACTTCTCTGAGCCTAAACCCCATTCCAGAACACTTGGAAGTTGAGCATCATGGTTGTTCCCTGTACCTCTCATTTTTAAGTGTTCCTGCATGGCAGACCCCTTACTGTTATCTCACATATAGATTCTTATTATTATAGCCAAATTTACCACCCTAACTCCTCCCACAGTTTTTACACTACATGGACAGTAATATACGGAAACGTGCGGATTGTTCCCGATTGGTGTGCTATTACTTTGTGGAACGTTTCGCCAAATGGTTCATGAAATATCGCCGTTTTTGTGGTGAAATTGGTTCCATAGGAATGAATGGCGGAATGTTCAAAACTAGAGTGGGAGCCGAAAAAAGCTAGAGTGTGAGCTGAAAAATCAGGACATGATTTCTAAACTGTTAAAAACAGAGTGCAGCGCTAAAAAATATGAATACAAACGAGAAAAGTCCGTAATAATTAAATAGATGTATATCTTAAAGAATCCCAAGGAATAGCTGATAAAGCCCGGAGACAATGGAAAGAGTGCGCACTCACCGGACGCGCATGGAAAATGCGCATATAATAAATATCCCCTGGAATCTTTATGGAAATGAAGAGAATAAGCTCCAACTCTGTAAATCAATCAGCCTGGAGATGTATGAGAGAAGTCCGGAGATCCCCTTTACAGGTGGTAAGGTAATCAGCCAGGATCCAGAGCTCCGTCCCTCCGGTGGTGGTAAACACACACTACAGGAATCCTGCAAATGGATTTAGCTCCCAAACAGGAACCAAAAAACAGGTGCCCATAGTGTAGTAATTCAAACCAATTTTAATAAAAAAAATCAGGATAAAAATACAGGGTAGTAGGCTGTGTACAATGGATATATTACAGCAGAGTACGCAGCAAAAGGTACTGACCCTAAGTTAAAATGGCCGCCGGGCTATCTCGTGGCTCCGGGCGGGAGATGACGTCATGCTCTGTCGGTTCCTCCTAAGGCCTTTCGTGCCCAAGCACATCATCAGAGGAGATACCACATCATCAGAGGTTGGTATCTCCTCTGATGATGTGCTTGGGCACGAAAGGCCTTAGGAGGAACCGACAGAGCATGACGTCATCTCCCGCCCGGAGCCACGAGATAGCCCGGCGGCCATTTTAACTTAGGGTCAGTACCTTTGCTGCGTACTCTGCTGTAATATATCCATTGTACACAGCCTACTACCCTGTATTTTTATCCTGATTTTTTTTATTAAAATTGGTTTGAATTACTACACTATGGGCACCTGTTTTTTGGTTCCTGTTTGGGAGCTAAATCCATTTGCAGGATTCCTGTAGTGTGTGTTTACCACCACCGGAGGGACGGAGCTCTGGATCCTGGCTGATTACCTTACCACCTGTAAAGGGGATCTCCGGACTTCTCTCATACATCTCCAGGCTGATTGATTTACAGAGTTGGAGCTTATTCTCTTCATTTCCATAAAGATTCCAGGGGATATTTATTATATGCGCATTTTCCATGCGCGTCCGGTGAGTGCGCACTCTTTCCATTGTCTCCGGGCTTTATCAGCTATTCCTTGGGATTCTTTAAGATATACATCTATTTAATTATTACGGACTTTTCTCGTTTGTATTCATATTTTTTAGCGCTGCACTCTGTTTTTATCTGTTACTTGTAGGTATACTGTGATTACCTTTAGTGCCTTAGCTGCTTACTTAGGAGCGCTCACTTTATACCTTTTATTAGTATGATTTCTAAACTGCCATCACTCCCTCATTTCCAAGCCCACCTACACAAATCTTATCTCAAAACGTTCAGCTATCTCTGCTGCCACTAAAAATGTTCAAGGCTAAGCCATAGTCCTGATAGTTTTCACAATATGACCATTTGTTTGCAACTCACGCCGCCCATTGACTTTCATTGAATCTCCACTACCAGACACCTGAAATTTTAAGGGACATTTTTAAACTGCGTCTGTGCTTTCATTTTTAATATTTCAGAGACATATGCATCAAAATGTAGGTCTGGGTGTTGTGATTCTCACAATATAAAGCTCTTCACTATAGGATTTATAGTTTTAAAACTACAACCGTTTGAAGATGGCAACCGCCAGTGAAGTGAGCAAGTTGGAGCAGTTTGTTTTTTAACCGCTCCTCTGCCCTTGCTGTAGAGTGAGTTGCCATAGGAACCCAGGTGTGTGAGCAGGCAGCAGAGTGACAAAAGCTACTCCGCCCACTCCAGTTGTAGACTACTGCTGGAGGCAAGAACACTTCACACAATTTCCCCAGAAGTTGTAGATTTTCTAGTTATTATTATTTTTTATACAGGATTTATATAGTGCTGACAGTTTGCTCAGCGCTTTACATTATGGTGGGAGACAGTACAGTAACAATACGATTCAATAAAAGAGGGATTTGAGGGCCCTGTTCCTTGGAGCTTACAATCTAGGAGGGGGGGGTAGAGGTACAGGAGGTAATGACTGTGGGGGATGGAGTGGTTGGAAGAGTAGAGGATTCCAGTATTAGCTGAGGGCAGGGTAGGCTTCCTTGAAGAGATAGGAATTCAGAGTGTGCCTAAAAGTGAGCAGAGTAGGCAATAGTCTGATGGATTGGGGTAGGGAGTTCCAGAGGATGGGGGAGGCCCTGGAGAAGTCCTGGAGACTAGCATGGGAGGAGGAGACAAGGGAGCTAGAGAGTAGGAGGTCTTGTGAGGAG